AAAAAATATTTAAATTTATCAACAGCATTTTATATTTCATGATACTGATCAGCTCATTGATATTTATGAAGTTTCTTCCACAACAATTTGCTGGTATTTAATTGTCAAGACTGGATGTGTTATTATAATAAACTTTTATATGAAACAATCAGAAAGACGATATAAGTGTCTGATTGAAATTTTGCACTTTCTATGTGTAATGGTAAGATTTAAACAATAATATCATATCAGGCAGTTGCTGATAGGGGAATATTCTTCAAGATCATACATTTTGATAAATTGCATAGCTGAAAATCAGTTAAAATTGCTCCATTTTAATATAACTCACCAAAATCGGAGATTTGCGATTGTGCAACATAGAAAACACAAGCTAAAAACAATCAGAAATTAAATCAAAATTTTCTTAAAGATTATAATTCACTTTCAAGAATTCGTATCAATTTTCTTTCTGTTGAAAAAGACATTCAGTGACAATAATTCCCATTTAAATATAAAATTGTTGGAATCCTTCTCCGAGGGCAGAAATTTCATGGAAGTGTTGAAAGAAGATAGAAATTATGAATTCATATAAGAATCATACATTTATTTAATGAATTAATATATGTGCTAATTTAAGACTAATTCTTCTATTACATTAATTCTCATAAATTCATGCAATTTTACTACGAAACAAGAAAAAAGGAAACAAACAAAAGAATAATGTAGAAAATGATAAATAGTTAGGACTGAATACATCAATAATTGAACAGTTATAGTTTGGCAGTATTTTTTGAGATTTGATAAATTGAAGAATAGATGAATGGATGGAAAAATGAAATAGCGTATTAAGGACAATACCAATCTAGAGCTGAACGACAATGTGTGTATTCCATACGACCGTATGATTGACGATTAATTATGCATGATTGAAGTTTCAGATCACAATGACAACCATCTTTCCTGTAAAATAAATTGTACATTTATTCAAATGATTATTAAAAAATATAATTTCAAAAAATTGTAGGGTAAAAACTGCAAAAACTCGAATAAATGAAGCCAATTTTGTTTAAAACAATTATCTGAATTAAAATATCCAAGGATTATAAGTAAAAATTTCTGTCACTTTGAAACGAAAAAAATTTCATTACAGTATACAATTTGAAGTGATATAATTAATGTATGCCACAAACCGTTCGTCATAGTGACGAAACCAAAAGTACGGAAATTTTGCAGCGCCTATAATTAGAGTCGTGCTGTTTGGGAAGCGTGACTACATGTCCGAATTCTTTGCAGATGTGTTATTTCATATATATATATATATTTGTGCAAGATTTTATTAAGAAATTAAATGACCTACATCCATTTCTGTCCCGGATCAGGCCGACACCAAAGTATTGGTTCTCGATAATTGTAACAGTCCTTATGCTTGACACAAGACTGTGTTCTAGAATAAACTTCAATTATGCGGAAAACTGTCATTTAGTCCTCAATTTTGACTATTTTACTGGATAAAAGCTGAAATTATTTTTTTTCTTTTGAATTTGCCCCTAAATTCTCAACATTCTGACTTTTAATCGAAAAATCAATTATTTGGAAACTATCAGACGAAAATTATGATTTATTCACAGATGAACATAAGTAACTAATGCCATCTTTGCTTAACCTAGCAGAATTTCTATTTCAGACTTCTATTTCACTAGGCTAGGACATACTCCATTGCATGATACATCAACAGTTCCAATAACTTTTTAAAATGGCTAATCTTTATTCTATATAATAATTGTTGGGCTAAGTTTTTGTTACAGAAGCATGTGTTTTATTTCGTAAATCTGAAGTTTTCAAATTCTTTTTATTCAAATTAAACATAAACAAACTTTCCATCACTGTTAACGAAATATGCTCCAATGCAATCAGAATTTGGATCACTACTCGGTTTACACTGTGATATCTGAAAGTATTAATATTCTTTTTGAATAGTTCTTATTAAATTTTTTTTTCACTATCCATGGTATGTAATCTCAATAATAAATTCTTTATAAAGGCAAACTCAAATATATCAACACAAAACAAATTACTATGATAGATTACCCTAAAATTCGCGTTTGTTTCTAAAGTTTTCCTATTTTTTTTCAAAAAACTCTAGTTTAATATCAAAAATAGTAAAAAATCATTCTATAATTAATTCGTTTGAAGAATATTCGTGAGGTTATTAGCGGAATAGAACCGAACAATTGTATTAATTACTATTCATTGGTGTAGAATTTCCTTGCGTTTGCTTTGGACAAAAATAAAAATGATTATGACAAATTTGTTTAAAATTCTTACATTAAAACAAAAAAAGTTAGGTTAGTAGGAAGATCTTGTTTGAAAAATTAATTTATTCAGTCTAAGTTTGAAAAATTTATCGAAACTTACTGAATTATGAAATGGAGGATACGAAAAACATGGAGCAATGGCCAATATAAATAACTGCCACATCCTGAAAAAAAAATTTTTTTTAACAGTTCGTTTTATTCAATATTGTTTTATTCAAGATTTCCTGAGAATAGGAATTCCGAATTCAAACAGCAAACGCAACGGAAAAATAAAAGTAATGGATGGTGAACTTATAAGATCAGAAAAATTCAATTGTATGATGCTTATCCACAAATATAAATTATTGGTACTCGCTTCAATATTAGTACAATTAATTGTGTAATAAAAAAGCGGAAAATAGAATGATTAGGGACAACGAAATTAAAAAATGAAAAGTAAACGCTAAACAAAAAAATTAGTGATAATAATCATTTGCTTTCCAGTAAGAATTAAAATAAAGTTCAGCTTTTCCCAATGGAAAACTAAAACCAATCAAATTGAAAAATTTTTTATGATTATTTAGTGCTAACTGAAAGAGTGAATGATTTCGAAAAATTCTGCAAATTTCGTTTAAGCATATTAATTTCAAACACATATTTTTTCCATACGTTTTCCACTTTAAATGAATTTAATTTATAGATAAGAAATAATATTTTTTTGTTCGTTTAAACTTTATGAGTTATTCTCGAATTTTTGAAGCTATCCGGTGTTAATGAGTGATAAGTTAGCGTAGGTGGAATTATTGGTAGAGTAAAGCCAAACATTATGCAGTATTATTCACTGAACTCTTAAAGACTAATCACCTCTGCTTGTTCCTTTAACATTTCCAAAAATATTAATTACAATTTTTCATTATCCAGTTGTTGCTTTTTTTAATAAAAAAATTTTGCAAGAGTTTTTTTTTGCTTTTTTTCATAAGAATTTTAAATTATTAAAAAGTCCAAGTTTTTCCTGGAATTATTAATTACTTTTTTGAGAAAATCTAACAGTGAAAATTGAGCAAAGATGAAAAATAATTGAAATTTTCTTGAATTTTAGAGTTTGTTCGCTTTTCCAAAAGTTTCTTAATAAATGAAATTTATCATAATTCATCAAAAATAGTATAACTTGCAAATCGTGAATTTATAAAATATTTTACAGTACTGCTAACATGCAAAAACAATTGATTGCTATAATTCAGAAGTTCAAAGTCTCATTTTTTTTAAATTCTATAGACAAGTGAAGATGAAAAGAAAAGAATTTTTGAAAATTATCCTAAATAACGATGTCTATTTATTTGTTTCTTTTTTATTTTCGTCTGAATTTTAAAAATATATGAGAAATTTAAAAGCGATGACAAAGTACATATTGTTAGGATTCTAAAAAAAAATAATCGGAGAAAAATTATGTAATTTTAACAAAAACATTGATTATTAAATGCTAATCATTGAACTTAAAATACTTATTTTTTGAATATACTTTATTAAAATGCCAAAGAAAAAATGTATCAAATATTTTTATATTATTCTTTTTTTTTTCATATTATTTCATATTATTCTTTTTCCTACCCTTTCTCTTTTAATTAACCATCACGGAAATAGCATCCGTTATTTCCGGATAGTTAATAAAATTATTTAGCAAAATTCGACTTTATATTGATAATAAAATATAGTGAATAAATGAGCTGATAAATAATTTCAGATAAATGTAATGATTAAATGTTAAGAAAAGATGGAACAACAAATTCAATTGATACATATAATTTACAAAATTAATATGACAGAAGATAGTATTTGTTTAACAATCAATTAATTCGTTAAACAATTTATTCAGTTTTTTCGTGGGTAAAATTCGGATATAAATTTGAACAAAATAATTTGTTTAATAAAAATTGAGCAAAAAAATTGGAATTATTATTTAACTCTGACATAAGAAAAAAAAATTTAAATTATCAAACTTGAAAAGCTAACCTCGTCAAACTGATGGTAAAAGTGTACAAAATTGGCACTTTTCAAAATATATTTACACCAAATTCAAATCCTCAAGCAGTAACAAAGGCAAAATTTCAGCTGTAAGATCGATCTTCCAAGCAGGTGTGGTTCTATCGTGCAAATTGATGCTTTTTATACACATCGCTGTAATTTTTTAAATGATTTGTTTTTTAAGTTTTAAAATTCTCAAAAGTTATTGGTCAACGATCATTCATTTTTCATCAATTGCTAATATGAATTGTGAAACAAATAACAATTAGGGTATTTATGACTGAATTCAAAAAGAAATTCAAAAGGAAGCAATTGCAACAAATTAATGTTATATTTAGTTCTAAAATTTTTGAAATACTTTTTAATTATATGCCATGAAATTTCAATTTTAGATTTTCGCAATAATCAGGGCTTATTGTTATTTTATTGTTCACTGTAATATTTTGTGTTAGACTTCAAGTATTCAAAAAAGGAAGTTAACTTTAAATAAGCATGACTTATTACTTATATACAATATTGTTACCGTTAAAAAAATAATAGAATATATAAAAATAATTTTCTTTTTTCCAATTTTTCAATTTTTCCCAGAAAATAATCATAATTAATAAAGTGTAATAAATAAATTAATTCATGATATCATTTCATTTATTTATTTGTTAACAATTTTTTTCTTCAATTTACATCTTTTTTTTCTGATGATAGAGTTTTGATTTCATTACGTGTTCAAAATACATTCCTCTGTAATTGGCATATTTATAATGAAATCAGAAATAGGATTTCAGCCGAAATTTTTTGCTGAAAATTTAGTGTTCAGATTTATAAAGCATAAATTTTGTCTTCATTAATAGAAGTAACGAAACAGGGAAGAAAGATTTATTTGTTTTTTAAAATTCTCTCCCGAAAAATGGTGAAAAAAAGATGTCAAAAAGTGCTCTTCAATTCTTTTTTTGGTTGTTATTAACTTTTTTTAATGTTTATTTGCTGAAGTTTACCAAAAACCTACATTGCAAATTCTGAAAAAAGTGAATTTGAGAAAGTGAAAATGTCGCTTTTTCAGCCACTTTGTTTTAACTTATCCACCAGAGGATAATTGTAAGATAAAAAAATTTTAAGGCATTGGAAGTTGAATCTCTCATCTATAATATCCAGAAGAAACAAAAATAATTTGCAAAAAAGAAGAAAATTTTCAGTATTTTTAGAATATAAGAAAAACACAACAATACAAATTGATGTATTTAAAACAGTATTTCACACAGTCTTTTTTATTTTTCATTTTTTCCTCATTCATTATTACTTCTTTGTGAATGGGAAAAGCTAACTGCTAATTTTAAAGGAGAAAAATAAATAGAATGACAAGGAACTACTAAAGTTTTTCGCACTTTTTTCAGCTAAAATCATTTAACTGTAAATTCAATGAACAATTTTTTCATTATTCAAATTTTTTCTTTTGCTTTTAAAGCTTTTTTTCTTTCATTTTACCGGTATGCATAGGAGTCGGAAATTGAGAATGTTTCAATTATTTTGAAAAATGAAATGATTAAATCATTTCAAACATTCATTGTAAAACTTGATTTTGATTTTACCTGACATTATTTTTTAATCGTACTTTTCTCGCAATCACGTAAGAAAGCTATGCCGAAATTAGAAAATTCAATTATTTCTGAAAAAGCTTATCAGTTTGTCAGTAATCTGTTTACCAAATGAAATTGGAAACATGAAGAACTCGATGCTGTGGACATTTCTTTGGAAGGATGAAAATAATGCCTTGAAGTGATTTGTCAATTTAAAATCAAATTTTACTAATAAATGAAATTTAATTAAAAATTTCATTTTCCAGTACGGATGAAAAGTGCACTAGCTGAATTAAATTCCAAGATTTAAGAAAGATGAGGAAAAGGAAATGAGTTAATTAAAAGATTATGGACTTCTTCCTTACCATTGCAAATAAAAATGACAAAATAAATCACTGAAAAATTTTGAACTTTTATTTAGATATAAATCCGATTGATATTTTCGGATTTTGATTTCGTTTGTTTGAAATTTAATGCAAATTTTAATTGAATTTTAATAGGCAAATCACCGAAATATAGAATATTCAATACTGCTTTTCAAATGCATATCAAATGTTGCGTTACTGTTCGAAATCAAAATATACACAATAAAAACTTATGTTCTTAATAGTTTAAAAATTTCTGCTAAAAGCAACAATTTACAAAGACAGATGGAACGCAAATGACTCGTAATTAAAAAGTTTCTTTATTGGCTGGAAATCCAAAATTCTGCTCTTTTTAACTTAAAAAAAGAAAAATCGAATCAATTTTTGGAAAAAAACTAAAAATTTGTTTCTGTCAGTTTCTTTTTCTTTTTTTGAAATATTTGGGGAAAAAACAAACAAATGAAATAAGGAAGACTAAATGAAAATGGAATATTGAAATTTTCAAATTAAAAATTTTCAAGTAAATAAATAAATTAATTAATTAATTAAACGAGCTAATTAATTAATTAATAATGAGTGAATAAATAAATAAATAAAAATGAAAATTAAATAAAAATAAATAAATGATCAAACAGAAATTAATTAATTAATCAATTAATTGATAGAAAATGATTAATTAATTAATAAGTAAATAATAGATACTCATTTACTTCTTCATCGTTTTTTAAATAAGCTTGCAAAAATTAGTGGGAACAATGTTTTTTTTACACATTTTTCATTATCTTTCACAAGACAAATCTTCTTGTTATTGTTTCCTGCAGAATCGTAAAGCACAATGTTGCAATTTTCTAATCTTTTTTTTTGTCCTTTACATATTGCTTTCAGTTTTCATAGTTTTTAATGGCATTCGGTGTGAACATTTAAATTAATTCAATAAATCCATTTTCGTCACGATTTGTAACATTTTAGAACGAAAAATTGTAATTTCGTAAGTTTGAAAATTGAAATTAAATCAAATTGGATTAAAATAAATTTTCCGTTTCATTTTTTTTCACTTCTCAATACTTCAGTTAGTTTATTCCGCCATTCATTGCTCGTTTTTTTTTTCTCCATCATTGATAACAATCAATTCCATTAAACTTTAAAATTGATGATCAATTCACTGTATTAGTAATATTTCCGTCTCAGTCAGTATAATGATTTCTTTCCTTCTTTCTTTTTCATGGAGGAAAGAAGAAATCTTTTAACCGTTTTGACACCGTTCTAATTTATCTAATTATTGTGATTGAAATTAATTTAATGCAACCTTTAAAATTAGCACCATTGCATCACAGCCAATTGGTACTTAAAATTAAATATCAAGAAAATTTTGCAAAATAATTTTTTTGACTGATTTATCAATTTTTGTTCAATTCAGAAGCTCTGTTGGAAGAATATTGATACAATTAGGTTAACTTTGTGATAATAATACTGATTAGTTAATTTATAATGTCAAATTCAGTAATTGATTTAGTTTAACAAATTTTTTTCTCACCAAATCCTTCGAATTTTCATCGCAAAAAAGTACTGCAATTCAGAAAGCAAAATATTATATTTAGTCGACTGAAAGAAAAAACCAATTCAAATTAAAGCATAAAAAAAAATGAAAAGTACGCATAAACATTTCAGTCAACTATTTGTCGCCATGCAAACAATCCACGAATGGTAGAACAATATCATTATGAAGCACTTTCATAAAAATAAAAAGCTTTTTTTATTTTTATTAGGATACTATAATAATGAATTTATTTTAGATTTTTAAATTTTAATACAGCACAGTTTGATATTAAATAAGATTTTCACTTATATTTTTTGGTGAATTTAAATATTTTGAAAAGAGAAAAAGTGAAAATCGAAATTATTAGTGAAATAATTTCATATCAGTTACTACTACGTAATGCTAATTATTGAAAATTAGTGATTATTTTGTTTTTTCTTTTCATATACAATCTATTGTTAACCGAGAAAAATATTTATAGAATGTCGGAGAAAAAAAAAACAAAATTTAAGAGGTTGTCAGAAGAAAATAAAGGAAAAAAGTTTCATTTCTCAAACTTTTTTCATTTTTTTTTCGCTGCTTAATTCTGTAAACAATAAAAAAGCTTTTAAAAAAAATGCTCTTTTTCTCATTTTTTGTTGTTGCTAAGTATGTCAAAGATTTTTCTGAGTGAAAAAAAAAGGTTTAAATGTTACTTTATGCAGAAAAAAAAGCGGAAAAAAAATAAAACAAAATAAAATTTCGTTGTCAGGGTTGAAATTCTATTTGATCAATAACTTTTTTCTTCTGGAATTATAAAATTTCAATTCATTTTTATATTAACAAAAATTATTCAAATCAGTATCATTTTTCATACGTCATTGGGTAATATTCACGATTTGCTGTATTCGTGGTAATTACTATTATTACATCCTTTATTTTCTATTTATTTACTGATTGTGATAATAGCGCTTGAGTTATGCGATTAAAAATAATCATTATCATTATTGCAATTGCATAGAACACTACAGTTAACGTATTATGATAAGTTTTTATCAATATTATATGCAATGTTAATATATTATAAAAATTTGATAAAAATTATCACTGTTACTTACGTTACGGAATATTCTGTATTGCTTACTGTGAATTATTCATGTCATTTAGCGCATTCAAATTAAACTACTAAAGTTATAATTGTAATGCTAAATCGCTGATAGCATAAGCTCAGTAAATAAATGCATTTGCAAATCAAAGAGTGCAGGGATTCAATTTACAATCATTAGATTTTGTAAGCATACAAATAGAAAAATTTTTAAATCCCGGTTAATAAATATTAACCTTCCGGAAACACATCAAAATATTTAGTAATTTAAATAACTGTTAAAAATATCGTTAATATTATCAATGGCGTACTATCACAGAAGTGATAAACAATAAGTCATCACTTTAATAGATGACTTGCAGAAATTTAAATGATTATTCTTTGATTTCTTCCAGAATACGTACATAATCCCCATTTTTGTAATTAATTTCTATCAATATCAAGTTGTAAAGAGCAGAAAAAAAAGGAAACCGAATATTGAGGAGATGAAATGTCTAAGCGACTTTTTTAAAAAAAGGAGACATGCATTTTTAACAATATGGAAATACAAAAACTCGGCATCACTACTAATTAATGATCTTCGGAATTCTAATATACATTTTAGGACTCATAAACAATCACTTTTCATTTGTCTTTTTTAAAAGAAATCATCAATCAGGATCTCTGAAACTTGTTTCTACATTCTGATTGCGTGGATCTGTCCTATTAGAACTTCCGTTTCAAATCAATATCCCGTTTGCACTTTTAAAACTACAATTAGCTGAGAACAATAAATGAATCTGATAAAACTCTTCAGGATGTAAAAAATCGATTCATAAAGAAAGAATGTTTATCACAGAATACTGATATTTATAACAAACAATTTAACAAATGAATAAATATGGCTCATAAAAACCATCACCAACCATACGAAACATAATAAGAACATAAACGAATTCTTTTTCAATTTCAAAATTTGCAACTCAAAAACCCTAAACAACAATAAGATTTAAATCATTTAAGTAAATTCATCGCCCTGCTTTTCTTCTTATATTCTACAAAGATATGCGGAAGATTTTGGCATTTTTTGCTCTCAGATGCTTCTATATGCTTGTTAGGAAAATATATTACATTATCTCGAAATTTATGGCAGAAAACCCGAAAATTCTTAACGTCCACTTTGAACAGTGCAAATTTTCAAACCAACTGCATCACGACCTATTTCGGCTACTTGACAAACATCACATATTTCACCGGTAATATCCGGTGAGTATGATGCACCACAAAATGGACATTTTACCTGAAAGAAGAGGTATATGAAAGGGTAATGTACAGTTGTGCTTAAGCCATGAGAGGATTTTCACTGTTCATATGGCATATAAACACCGCATATTCAGTGTAAATCAATTCTTACTGATGCTACTGTTTGCCGAATCATTCGAAGCAATCATTACTCCAATTTACGTTTACATAAAAACATTGGCAAAATTAATACTTCTATCAAAAAAAGTAAACAAAGTTTAAAATGCTATCTAAACTACTATTCTTTTTTTTTTTCATTTTACTAGGAAAGAGTGAACAATCAACCTGAGGTTTCCCACGGTATAAGGGTTTGAATTTTCTCGAACAAACAACAAATGGATTGTGCTCATCGTATTGCAGCTGCAAATCATAAATTTAATTTGTATGAGCAATCCTAAATTACATTTATTTAATTTGGAAACAAAATTGTCCAATTAGTTGTCTAAATTAATTAGTTCATCTGGCTTTTGGAGATAATTAAGTGTGCTATCCTAATTCCTTTATAAAAGTCCTACCAATAACAAAACAGGAAATAAAGTAGACTAAAATATACACTACAGAGCAGCAAAAAAGGTCGAAGTGCTACAACAGTAATTTTGATATAAAAACTATATGAAAAGTACAAGAAAATTTATTTTTAATCAAGAGAAACCTCATGCGTGTCATTCGGTTCCTTCTCAGCAATCATTAATACCTTCCGTATTTGTGCAGCAACTTCTGCTTTTGGTCCTGCAAACAGCAACAACAGATCAAGTCACTTCCGAAATTGAGACAAAATAAAAAAAAAAGTAGCTAGAAAAAGCAGTATGAAACTATTTTTTTTTCAAAAGTTCTGACAACTTACCTAATTCCAACAAACGTTTACAAAAGGACACACAGGTTTTCATTTGTTTTAGTTTAAAAAATAAATTCACCGCTGTTCGAAGCGTCAATATTTGATGCACCTGAAGAAAGATTGCATTCTGTAAAGCTTTTGCAGTTTCTTTTTCTCATTCTCACACAAATTTCTGGAGATGTTTTACACAGACAAATGCTGTATATGATATAAACAGTGAATGACATATTTTATTGAATATCCTTATTCGCTACTAAGGAAACTGAAGGATTTCTCGGTATTCTAAACATGTACGCTCTGTCAAATTATGAACTTTTTTTAATTAATGGCAAGCCGACACGTATCGGACACATTCTGTTTATCTAGTTCAAGCTGTTATTCATTCCTTATGTTAAAGAATTCAGCTCACATTTTCGACAAGAATACAATTATCTCTCATATTTTTCTCTATAATGCACCCATTGCTTAATTGTAATATTAAATCAGTGTTAATTATCAATTTTTCACAAAGGAGAATATACCGGCTGAAGTCGGCAATGAGTAAAATATGCAGCCATTTCGGCATTTCGTTTAGCGTTTTCGACGACTTTTGGCAGCTCTTTTCGTGCGATTTCCATGAGTAAACCCACTAAATATTCGCGGCAAATCTCGATTAGTTGTTGCGCTTCCGCTGCCTGCAAAACTTCATAAAGAAATTTTTCTTTCTTAACACTGGAAATTCGGATGTAAAAAAGAAGGACAAGATCATCACAAAACACTATATGAACTAAAATATCTTATTTTCAGATTTCAAATCTTCAAAAATCAATACCTAAATAACCACAAACAAATGAAATAAAATTATGCGAAAATGAGAAAAAAGAAACTGCAACCAACTTCTTGCTTCGAATCCACAACCAGTAACGGAACGGATAGCAAGAGCTGACGTAACTTCTCAACAGCTTCACTGAATTTACCACTAGTTGTAAGGTGATAACAGGTTTGCAGACGTGCAGCTAGATCGCTCAGATGTAAAGTAACAGCCGGTAATCCACTTCGACCACCACCATCCTGCCAATTACGCAATCGATAAACAAAGTTCGGACCAGCATTCGGTAGACCTTCGTAACTGGCACGCGATCTGCAATTATGCTTATGAACTGCATATTATTCCCGGAAAGTATACTTTAATTCGACATTCAATAAATACATTTGTCTTTATACATGGAACCATATTTCTCAAAATACATACATGGAAACATATTCCTCAGTCGGAAATTAATTAATTGCTGCAGTTTATTAGAAAATCTCGGCAAAAAACAAATCAGTAAATAAGTACATAAATGGAATGCAAAAGAAAAAAAGCAAAAAATAAATTGACAATATTTCAGTCATGGTCTATTATGTCGCTAACTAACCTTGCATAAGCTGTTAAGAAAAGTTGCTTGAACGGTTCAATACGAGTAATACCAAGCTGATCACGTAATAAACGTGCAGCACTATCAAAGGCACCTGACGCAATATGATCCGCAACCAGCCTAAAACGTGATTAATCAATGAATGTTTATTTTAGCGCTAACAAATAATTAAAACAACCTTAACATTAAACGGCTTATGTTAATAGAAAAATTTCCATCGGATAAGGAAAAGGGTTTTAGGAGAATATTTTTATTTCAACAATGAAAAAACTTTTAGAGCCGCATGGGTGGCAGATATTATCACTGTCATTGACATATTATTTTGGCTTATTTTAAAAAGACTTGGCTTCCATAAAATTTTTTGAGATTCAACGAATTTTAAAGACAATTTTGATTTATTATCATCACCTGGAATTATTTGGCCAATGAACTGACGGTGGCTGCCCACGTGACGGCGCCGTATAAAAATTATCGTCATCATCTCCAGATTTAACGTCAATATCGGCTGGGAGAGCTAAATCATCATCTACCTGGAATTGTAAGCTTTTAAGACATTATCAAATATACGCGAGCTTTTACATCGATGATGTCCACTTTAGTGAGACTTAACTTCACGCAGTGCAGCCTTAATTTGGCTCTTCTATTTCGGATTATCAGCCCGATCATCTACGGCAGTCAAATAATTTGCATGTGTATAAATAAATAATTTCTTGGAATTGCCAAAACTTCTAGGATAATTTTATGTTTCAAAACAAAACCTACAATTTAATTCAATAATTATATGCCTTTTCTAATCTCAATTTGAATGTGCACAGGGAAAAAAAAGAGCACTTACATCCCAGCCACCTTCTTTGTCTTCTTTCTCACTTACAGCGCTATGCATTTCCTCTTCATCGATATCAGGATTACCCTCCTCATCCAACATTAAATCGTCACCACCCCACGCATCCCCAGTCTGGAAAAAAAAAAACATTAAATAAAATTTGCTTTTCTCGAATAGCATGTACTACAAATGAATAAACTTGAGTTTCTACAACAGATGTTTAAAACATTTACTGCAATTCCCCAAGTGACTAAGCTTCTAATTACAATTACAAAATTTGCAAAACTTCAGATGTTTCAAAAAACCACCTCTTCAGTAGAATTAAAAATTAAACTAAAATTCAGCGAGCATTTCTTACCACATCAACACTATCATCGGTGTGTGCAAATGCAGCGGCTGCGCGAGATGATTTATCACCAATATTTGTTAGATTTCCTGTAATAAGGTGTGAATCAAACGGACCACGTGACATCGTTAGTAATGGCCAGTTATCCTCCATCTGGAATAAGAATTATATTATGATAAATAAAATCAAAATTAAAAGTTTCTAGCAAAAAGTAAAGAAAAAAAACACTACATACTAGAAAAAAAATTTTTCCGGAAAAATTTTTTTCAAATACGTGAGTCAAATTAAACAATGATCTTGAAATTACTAAAAGGCTTAAGAAAGAAATCATACAAACCTGTTTAATTGGCGGTGGTGGAATCAGTAAGCGAGCATTCGGATCAACTGGTGGCAAGTTTTGTCCTCTTGCTAACAACTCCTCCTTCAACTGGTTAGCTTCCTCGTTAAATCCATGTGTTGCCGCAGTCAAATATGCCAAAGAAATCTGACCAACATCTTTCAGAACTAAAATAAAAAATTAATCTTCGTAATTCAGACAAACATCATGACATAATAATTTTCTCTTCAAAAAAATCTATAGAATGAGATCTCCGCCACTGATGAAAGTAATGAATCATACTTTTAATACGCTCGTCAACATCACCAAGAAGAAGTGCGGTCTGATAATGTCCATTTACATCCTTAAAATATCTTCATTTTAAATAAAATATAATAGCGAGCAAAAAAACCCATCACCGACTTGAAATATCCTTGTTATATAACCTAAGTGATTCAAAATCTTAGATTTTAAACAGCTTTGACACATAAAACAAACAGGCAAAGTTTCAATGACATTAAAATGATTATAAATCATATAAAAAGAGAAAAATGACTGAAGCAATAGATCAATGCAAAGAAAATACGCTACTGTGTCAGTCATATGAAGCATGAGATCTTGAAGAATTTCGGAATTCCAAATATTTAAGTGGTAAAAACTGAAATGTTTAATTCTTGATGTGCAACATCAACTTGTTTCCCATATTTTTATTTTGAAAATAACCCATACTTTGCGAATTTGTGCAATTTTCATCATTTTTTGCAGTTTTTCCATATTCCCGGTAATTAGGTAGAGAAATGAGAGCTTCTCAAAATCCTTTGTGCGTTGATATGCCATTTCGACGATCTATAAAAAATCGATAATAAAAATTAGTTTCTCATAAAGCCTGAGATTTCTAATGCAGCTACATAATTTCCAACATCATGCATGTTTGTTCAACTTTGCTTTAAAAATCATAAAAAGTATACTTTTTCCGATATGTTGTGCAATAAATTTTTCCTCCCAAATTCTACTTCTAGATCAAACACAATATTGAATTCAGAAAAAGATATATTTGTTTAAAAACTTCTAATTACCTGATGATTACCCTGCATTAAAGCAGCCTCACCAAGAGCCTGCCAAACTGCCTTATCATCAAGCACTTTAGCTGATTCAAGAGCAACCTAAATTAGAAAACCATCAGCGTTAGCAATCCAGTAATACTTTGTTTTATCAAACCTTTTCCCCTATCGATCTCTTTTAGTACAAAAATCACTTGAATTTTGTTTTATTTTTTTCTGAACACTTTATAGGGATTTCAGCTGAAAGAAAATGCACCTCGAGACTACCGCATTCGAGTGCTAAGCCAAATCGAGTTTTTTCGTCCTTCACAAAATGTAAGGCAACTTCCGGATAACCTTTCTTTTGCAAGTATGCGATAATTGATTGGCCAACCAGATTTGCTGAGCGTACCATATTTAATACCTAAAGTAAACATTCAAGGAAAAATTCGAATTTAAGTACATTGCGTACAAACTTTTATTTTGGAGAAATACCACATTTCTCGGCTCGGTAGCATATTCAAATATTCAGTTCTTTTTCTGTTCGTGTTCATTCTTAAAATTTAATTGAAATTCAGCAACCTCATCATAACGACGATTTATTAGAGCTAGTTTGAAACGGTATTCCGTTGGGTCTATAGGCACTTCAACTGGAGCTGCTTCGCTGAAAATCATATTTATTTTATCATTCTGACTTTTTATTCTATTTTCAATGAGCTTATGAAAGGAACATCATCGTAATCCCATTTAATTTTTTCGCCGTCAACTGATACCTTCCTTGAATCAAATATGCTTTGCCAACGAAAACAAATTTCAGAAAAATTTACAATTGGAAAAAATGACTAAAGATGAACAAATTTTTCATTTTTGAAATCTTAAAAAATTTCAAGAAAAACATATACCGATTCAAGCAATACAAATTTTCACCACGAACAGCAAGCACATATACCGGTACATCCAACGTTCTAATTATGCCATGATCACCTACTGCTAACGCGTATTTGATATGGTTGCTGGTGGTATAGAGGAACACACCTTCTTCTTCCCAAGCGCCACTCTTTAAACGTGTTGACTCTTGGACGGTGCATAAGATCTAAAAGTAATACTTCGAAAGCTAAATAATATCCATTACTTTAAACAACGAGTCGGAAAATGACTTCATAAATTTAAGACATATCACTGAGCAGTATTAAGTTTTTAAAATGTCAATAAGCTTTAGGGTAATCTGGTATAAAGAACATTAGTAATTACTTGTAATTTGCGTGACACCAAAGTTAAAGTATGTTTGCTAAGTAAAGCTGCATATTCCAGATTCTTCGACCAAATCACATATTTCACCTATAATTTGAGATCATATATGCAAGCAATATAGATGCGCATCTCTCAACTAATTCAGCCAGATGGCAAGATATATAATTAGAAGTGAACGTTCTAGAACCATGATTAAATAAGCTGAAGTTCACGATAAATTTTGACTGGTAATCTTCCACTAAAACTATAATGCAAAGATCAGTTTTGCGAATTTATGCCTTTTCTTTCTAAACTATGTAATTTTATGTAGTTGTAGTGACACTCTAAGAACTGAAGTTTGATAACCTTAGGAACTTTTGCAGAAGTCAAGGTGCGCTTTTTTTGGATGTCAAATAGTTGAACACCTTCGTTATTTTTTAGGAGCAAAAGTCCAGTGCCAGCATAGAAAATGTCGTCAATCGGAACGCTTTGTTCAATCTTTCGATTTTCACGATTTGACAAATCCCGGATCGTGATCTAATACGATGTGCTTGATTATAAAAAACTGTGAATACGTAGAAATAATAGCTTTTAACTCTAATAATATAATTAAAATCCATTGTTCGTCTAGACATACCTGCTGATTTTTATCCAAAACAGCAAAACGATTGCGCGCTACCCAGACTGCAGCTACACCTGGCGAACGTTTCCCTTCCGGAGCTTCACTACTGCCATCAGATGCATCCTTCGATACCTGCAATTCCAACCGCTAGCTTGATTTATTTCTTCGATTTCGCATATCAATAGAGATAAATTGGTATAAGAAAAACAAAGCAATAAAAAGTTGTTGCATGTAATGGTACTGAATAAATATATGTAATAATAACAATTAATAATAGTAATGGCAATAAACAGGAAACGATGTTACTTAATAAATAATAAAGACTTAAAATAGCAACTATATGAAACAGAGATAAGTGAAACAAAGTAAGTGCTAATATTTACCTTATACATATCGTATGTACAATATTCAAGCATAGGCGAACGCGTAATCAAAAGAAATGAATTTTCCGCAGGATTGTAATGCAATGAATAATACGGCTGCATAAGCTTGCTACCACGAAGTTGCACTAATGCTACATCTTTGCTGAAAACTTTCCAATATGGATCACCCACGTCCTCCAAAACTTAGAATTTTGAAAATCCTAAATTTCAATTACAAAGAAACATATTTGCACAAATATCTCTTAAAAATGCCTTCTCTAAATCCATCCATATGTTTCATTATCTATTCTCAGCGTAACATACGCGTAAAGTAATATACGTCCCATACGTTTGATATGCTTCCCACTCTGAAAAAAATTTTTTAAAAACCAACTTATTAGTTAAATCCAAACGTCTTAATTGACGTTCCTTTACATAAAACACCAAATTTTCATGTACACAAAATGCTGGGCGTTCACGTTCAATTTTAAACACCATCATTCCACTATCGTGACCTGCTGCGAACATATTCAGTGTTGGGTGAGTAGCCAAAACCCAAAATCGATCGTTATCATGTCTGAAAATTGTATTGTTAGAAATCAAATAAACCACACTTTTAGTATGTTTTAAGATTACTTCCTTTCATAATTAGATTCTGAATTGGAAGAATCTTACAGAAAATCTTCACGAAACGTTACTTGTAAATAATACAAAAAATTATGCAAACTGAAACTAAAACACAGCAAACTACTTGAGACTTCACTTTTTAAAAGTTTACCTGAATGTGTGCAAGCATGTGCGTTTTTGCATATCCCAAACACGAATACTTTTATCTTCAGAATTACTTAGTATCAATTCTGCTTTTGCATGAAACAATACCGACGATACGTTGTTGTAATGGCCACGGCATGAGTCAACCTGTGAAGAAATATCATGGACGTAAAGCCTTCTCGATCTTTGACAATTTTTATATATCCAAAAAATTAATGTACTCAAGATTTAATGTAAATAAATAAGCTAACCTCCCAAGCTTTGCTTTCATTGTAACGCCATAATTTTATTTGACGATCGTCTGCACCCGAAACCAAGAGTGGCATCGTTGGATGGAATGAAACCCAATTAACTCCTAAATTTTTTCCTTTTTAAATCAAAAATACTAGAGTTGAAAGAAGAAAACATCATTTTCAATCGGATCAACAGATTTATATGTAGTATTCGTTTATAGGAAAAGATATAAACAACTAATGACTAATAACTAAAAAGATATAAATAACTAATGACTGATATAAATAACTAATAACTACAAATAACTAATGCAATTCAGTGATAACTAGCTTAATTACAAAATCACTCATAACGATAAAAAAAACCTCTTCGATCAAATGTTTCACGTAGAAAGGAATCTCCACATAATAATGAAATAATGATAAACGATGATAGTGAAACTACATGAAATCGTTTCAACATACCTCTATCATGTCCCTCTAAAACATGTTTGACAACAACATCAGGTTGTCCAAACAAATCACTGCTAGCTACGCCACCCACGGAACGTACACGTGACATGTCGTTACCAGTTCCTGGCGAAACACTCTTCTTCCGAAGCCCAGATATGTCCCAAATTCGCACTGTTTGGTCTAGAGAAGCCGAAGCCACTAGATCCTCCGTTGGATGAAATTGTGCGCACATCACATAATGATTATGACCTAGTAAAACATAAATTTCAATACGAATATATTTACATATTATCCACAGAATGGATATGGATAATTTCTAACATGATAAAACCACAACATCTATTCAATTTAATAACCAACTTATTCTATTCTTTGTACCATACTATGGTCGGAATGATAATATAAGTATTACCAGTTAAAATAGCAATACTATGACGACTTTGCCAATTCCAAATCCGTACTGTTTGATCATCCGATGCACTAATAATCCAAGGATAGTTGCTGTGAAAAAACGTGGTGCGGATGTAATCAAGATGACCAAGTAAAGTGAATATGCAGCGCCTTTGCTTGTAATTCCAAACCTAAATTTTAATCATTATATAAAATTCATTTAAAAACAGCTATCATTAATTTTTAATAATGTTTCGTTAAAATATCTCCATAGCGTACCTTAATTTTGTAATCATCGCCGCCAGATACAAAAATTGGCTGTTGACTATGGAATGAGATACCACGTACTGGACCATCATGCTCGTCAAATTTGTCCAACATAACACACATTCGATAATCCCATAGCTGAATGATACCACTATGTAGTGAAGCCAAAACCCATGGTCGAGTTGGATGGAACGAAATTCCTGAACGAATTGACAACTCGAAATTATACTTTCAAATTTGAAAAATTACATACCAGAAATCATTAAAATAAAAAAATTAGAGAAAAAAACAAATTGAATTTAAGTTAGATGTTTAACATTAAAAAACACATGCAATAAAAAATAATGCTCAATAATAATAGCAATAATAAGATGAGAAAAATCAAGGACATTAATTCATTAGTTTCTACTTTCACTTTAAAATTTTAATAAAGAAATATAAATATCTGAATTTGAATATATTTAATGAAAGATAATTAATTCATTTTTATTTAATGCGGATGGTAAATTTAACTGTCTTTTTTTCTCTGTGAAACCGTATCACTTTTTACATCCTTTCATAACGATACGTAAAAAAATTTTTTACTAAAAATTACCTTTAACACGCGCTGAGCTCGACTCAAATTTCTTCAAAATTGTCATCGTTTGTAAATCTAAAATGATTTTTGAGTTCAATGCCAAAATTTCAAAATATTTTAGCTAAAATTTTATCCTCCGCACCAATGCATCCCCCGCTGCAGCAACGTGGAAATTACAGCTCACTGTTTAGCAATCAATCCATCAAACCAACATAATTCGCGTATGAAAAGAACGATCCCAAACAGCTGTCAGGAATGAAATTGATGAGAATTTCCGGAAGTTCTTCCAAGTGGTCGCTTTTTTGGATTTCTTTTTTTCGAAATCTTCCATGAAATGTTTTCTCCTTTCAAAATTTCACATTTGATTTGTTTTCCAAAAAGTATGATAGAAAATTTGATGATTGTATTGATTGATTTTATCGATGCTATTTTCTCTCCTGTTCTTTTTTTTGGATTTTGTTTCCGTTATTGTTTACCTGATTTTTTGTTTGTTAAATATTTCTGAATATATTATTTTTTTTGCGGTTTAATATGATATATATTTTCTAAGGTAATTGTAAGAATTTTTTTCTGGTGGGAAATTTATCAAATATCGAAAATTATCAAGTGAAATATGAATTTATCGTATGAAGGTATACCAAAAATACCTCACAACATAAATTTGGCATAAAATTTAAGTATTATTTGTACTTTTGAAGTGCCAAAGAAATTTTTTCTACAATTTAACAGATTCAGAAATTTTAAATGAAAAAGAAAAGAAAACTTTACGACGATTAATTTGATAATTAATTATCAAATTTACCACCTAATAATGATTGAGTATTTACACTAAAAAAAAAGAAAATTAGTGAAAAATGTTACTTTAAACTGCATCATTGGAAAAATTTACTGTTGAACTTTATTGCATCGTACAAA